TTCTGCAAAGGACAATCTGATCTACAGAGAGAATCACCGGCACTGGTCTTCCATCCATCCAGAACCTGTACTTTTCAGGGTTAGGAAACAGACATCTCTGCAGAGCCCTTACATCCCAGACATAAACTATTTAACCCTGCTGCCCTCAGGCAGGCGCTACAGAGCACTGTTTACTAAAACCAGCCATCACAGAGATGGTTTCCTCCCTCAGGGTGTCTCTCTGATGAACACTGTGAAATAACCCCCTGCTCTATCATTCAGGTCATATGTACAGTGCACTTCTTAGTTTTGCACATATAGTTTCTTAAGACTTTCTGCAATTTGTCTTTTCTTAATAAAACCTTTCTTTTTTTGAACCGGAACTGAAATTAGATTTTTTGTTTGTGTGCACAAACTTGTCCAAATAAAGACAATTCTGATTATCTTTAATGTCTGGTTGCTACAGAGGCTGTATTTATTTCTTGTCACACAATAGCTGCTTTGGCAGATTTGGATTTGAACGCTTCTTTGCTTTAGCAATCTTACTCTCACTATTCCCTTACGTTGTGAACCCCATTTTAGACAGTGTTTGTAGGTTTACCACAAATTTGAAGTTGTATTGTTTCAGTCTCATCATTTAGCGTGTTGTGACTGTAAGTACACATGATCAGCTGGGTAACTCTCGTGTGCTAGTGTGAAGGTGGAATTCAGAAACTTGAAAGCAGCAAGGCTGACAAGTCTGTACAGTTCAGAAAAGGCTACTAAAAACAAAGAAGAAACATCTTGTTTATGTTGGGCATTAAACATACAGCCCATAGCTTTTTATTCTTTTCCCTCTGCTGCATGCACTTGGCCTGTTTCCAGGTGTTGAACAAGTCGAGAACAAACTGCTCCGAACTACTTAGTGAAGTGATTGCTGGCATCTGAAATCTGCATTTGCACACTCTGAAACCTTGTACCCCACTCATTATATTCGCAGAATCAAAGTTCAGAGTGGGATGGAAGAGACCCATGATTGAAGTCCATCAGGGTCAGTTTGCTGGGTTTGCACTGGCTCAGAGCGGCCATCAGTCTAGGCGAAAGGTAATGACAATGCTGCAAAACAGTCATTGAACAGCAAAGTAGTTGCTCTGCAGACCTTACTGTGTCTATTGTTCATCTACATCTACCTTGGTATTATCTTTGACTTTGTACAATTTTATTCAATTGTATAGAGATTTATGTCACATTCATTTTCTGCGTGTGGGGGAAAAAAGAAAGTAGCCCACCATCAACACATCTATTTCAGGATCTCTCAGTCTGTGGAGAAAGAGAAAGGAGAAAAGGGCTTTTGTGTGTTGCAGGTGTGTAAAATCTAACGTTCGTTGACGTTAACATGATTAGTAGCTACTGTCATACAAATATGTGACCAAAATGAAACTGGGGCATCTGGTGACGTTTGTTTTTGATGGACCAGGCGGCTATGAACTGGCTCTAAATTCCTATCAAGCATTCCTTCTTTTTGTTGGACATGTTTATTGTGACAAAGTCACGCATACGTTACTTTCTGCAGGAAGCACCCACAAGAACACCAGATGTACACCAGCTATTTAATAAATGCAAATGTAAAATTTGACACCTCTTGTTGTGTTTGTAATGCATTTTTTCTGATAATAAATAGTTTAGATCAGGGCAACTCCAGGTCTCGAGGGCCGGTGTCCTGCAGGTTTTAGATGTGTCCTTGATCCAACACAGCTGATTTAAATGGCTGAACGACCTCCTCAACATGTCTTGAAGTTCTCCAGAGGCCTGGTAATGAACTAATCATTTGATTCAGGTGTGTTGACCCAGGGTGAGATCTAAAACCTGCAGGACACCGGCCCTCGAGGCCTGCAGTTGCC